TAAAATATAATTAACCATCGTTCCATCATAAATATACATAATATTACTTTTAAATAATAGCAAATTTCTGTAAAATATTTTCAGCTGATTTAAAAACAGCACTACGATGTAACTTTGCAAACACTAAAAAAAAAAAAAAACTATTTAAAGTTTTTAAGATTAACTAGTAAATTCATTTTTTCCTGTGGTTTTACCAGTTATTTTCTGTAATTGAACAAAATTTGGAAGGTATGTAAAATAAGAGTAAATTATTTAAGAAATGACAGTTCTTTATTTTTTTTACAGTGTACACACATACACAACCGCAACTCTTGCCCGCTGCATTTTACTTCACAATCTCTTTACTTGTCATTATTTACGACAACTTTTTGTATTTTAACTGATGTGTTGTTTTTTTTTCATGTCTTGTTATTGATGCAAACCGTTGTGGATCCGTCACTTTGCTTTTCACAGCTTTTACTGTATAAACCAAATAAAAGATCTTGAAATCTTGTACTTTATTTCTGTTGCACCACGTCTGGTGAATTTTTAGAACACATTCAATATCAGCAGCGTCACCGACTCATTCAGTTCCGATCAGGCAGAAATAAAAATCTCCACATGACCTGCTGATGGAGACTCGGGGACTGATTATGTTTCAGATTTTCTCCAAAGAGCTCAAGGTTGTTCAGTTCGACCTCGAGCTGCTACTGAATTTCGAGATGTGTTTTCTGTTAAAAATGTCACACAAAAAAATATCCCGAAACTTAAGTGATAATTCCGGTTTACTTCACCCGGGAGTGTTTCCCACTAATGTTGCTATTTTAGCCCTCTGAGTCATGCTAATTCTGCTCTCTCCACCTCCGTTGTGGAGATTCAGGGAAATGAGGAGCTGCATTAACAGCAAATCGGCACAAAAAGCCGGAGCTCTGAATGTGCAGGTGAGTAGGTCAGCTGCTAAGTATCCCCAGGTGGAAATCACTAATGCACTTCTCAAAATAACTGTTCCAGGACACTCATTTCTGTGTTTCTATCAGTCAGACTCAAAACAAATGTTTGAAATTATTCATGTTAAAATCTGCTTTTTGGAAAAATGCAGTAAGCCTTGTGTCACCAGCATACACTGTTTTCCTTGAATAGAAAGTCTGAAAAACACTACACTTAACAAAAACCTAAAGCATTTAAAATTTTACTAAATTCTCTTCACTCTCGTCTTTCTCTTGTCATTTGTCGCATCGTGTTGTTGAACAAAGCTGACTTTTAAAGTGAGACTTTTATCTTTTCCTTTGAGCCATAAAGAAGACCACTTGCATGCTGCATGTTATCAAAACAAGTGAAAGATTAATTTGTGGGCCATTATGTTGTGACTTAAAGAATGAAAAAGGTAAAAATGAAAGAAATAAGTACTTAATAACTTGCTGATTGGTAAGAAGACCCCATAGATGATACTTTTTTAAATTTATTTTTGGCACACAAGAAGAAGATCCTGTACAAATGAGATAATTTACTTTATATTCAAAAGATGGGATGAAAATTATGTGTGCACAGGTTAAAAATAAACGCCACACATAAAGGTCCCATATTGTGAAAATCCACTTTCTTTTGTGGTCCTTATATAACTGAAGGTGTAAAATAAAAGCTGTACTCTGTATAGCTCCGCCCCCTCACTGCTTCCAGCTGAACCAATCAGAAGGTGCAGCTCAGTCCACCACATTTATTTACTTTCTACAGCTGCTTCTGCTAAACTCTGAAATGTCCAAACTACGAGTACAACTCAGCAAATGTTCTGTTGTTGGCTGCAAGAGTGAACACAACAGTCCCCATGCACTGTTAGCGTCTGAGGAACTGAACACCAGGTGGATTACTTTTGTTTGATGGTAGTGTCCCCATAACAATTGGAAAATCTGGAAAATAGGGAAAACATTAACTTTGGTGGTCTGTCCACAGATCAGAGCTCTGTGGAAAGTGTAACACTGAAGGACAACCAGAGATGGTGGAAACTTTAATTTACACCAGTCAAGCAGGACTGGGTGTTACTGTGTTGTCATGTTCAACCTAAACTCAGCAGCTTTTTCCATCTGTTAGCTTCTCTCCTGCTCTCTGTGCTCACATAGACTACATTATAATACAACTGAACTCACAATACAGCTGCTCTTATTGTAATTTTTTTTTTTCAGTTTGTCATCAGACAAAAGAACGATGATGAAACAGAGACTGAAACTCATTCAGACGATCTGTTAACCAGCAGCTAATATACTGATATTATAACCACAACGTCGTCTAACAAACTCACCAAACACAAGTTAAAAACAACTGCGCTGAGAACTCAGACATTTCCACGTAAAATGATCTTCAGAGAGAAAATTGGAATTGATAGAAAGTCCAGATCTCACACTCTCATTCACATCTATGTCAGCTGTGTTGTCAGCTGTCAGTCACAGACGCAGAGAGTCTTCTTCCTGATGGAGTTGGGGAAAGCAGAAGCTCACTAAAACAGAACATTTAGAACAGAACTAAAACCAGGAGTTCTACAGTCAAGGAGAAATCCACCATATATTGTCGTGTTTTAATCTAAAAAAATAAAGACGTGTGACTTTGATTAATGTACTGAAAAAGGAACAGTGTTCGACCTTGAATAGAACCATTTTTTGCAAAAATGGCGCAATTAAGCTCTTAATTTGAACACTTTAAACCGGAAACATTAGTGATTGAAAAGGAACACTTTTATTCTGAAGGTCCCACCGGAAAAACTTTACAGTGAAGCTTGTGGTTCGTCACTTTAGAGGATTTAAACACTTGTTTTAGCTTCCACAGTCACGTTTCTGACCTGATCAAAACCTGGACGATGAGGACAAATAGAGTTTGATAAACGACAAGTTTAGATCTGAGTCTGAATCATGTTAGCAGCTAACGCTAGTTAGCCACCTAGCAGTTAGCTCCCGGTTGCTTGACAACGGAGCGAAGCCAAACAAACCGCTAGCAGGCTAGCACATGCTAGTCGGCTAAAGGAGGACAGAAGCGATTTGTTTTCGTCTTTTTATTCGTTTATCATTTAACTGGAAAATTCCAGACGATGGCGGACGACGGGAGACGAGGAGACGAAGATGAGCGAGGACCGGGAGCTGCTCATCAGATGTTCGTGGTGATGGAGTGTCTGCTGGAGAAGCTCAAGGTGCTCAACTATGAGGAGGAAGTTCTGACCAAACACAACATGAAGAACCTGTCCAGGTAAAACACAACATGGACATCTTGTCCACGTGAGACACAGGATGGTTCAAATAAACGCATTTGAAAATTAACTCTACCAGTGAATCTTTTAGATTTACGCTGCAATCAGTTAAAAATACTATAAATCATAATTATATATTCACGTACGTGTATATGGAGAAAAAAAGACAATCAAAACTAAAGCGCTACATTAACCAGATAACAGAGTCACTGGAGGGAGTTATAGTAGAACTATTGTCTGAACTAAATAGTTTCCCAGTTTCATTAATTACACAAAAACAAAGTCTCAACACAAAATGGGAAAAATGTTTTCAGTCCCTCCTCCATAATCTCCTAAATTGTTTTCTATTTCTGCGAGAGTGATGGACAATGTGAGCACACACAGCTTTTAATGTGTCTGTGTTTTAGTGTACATGTGTAATTCCACATTCTCTCCATAGAGGTATCAGAAACTGCTTCTCTTCACTGTTGTGATGCACACAGTCCAGAAAAACAGTAAAATAGGTAACGACACTAATGGAAATATGTAGGATTTATATATATATTATGCCACAGCTGTTAATATGTGTTAAATAATAATCAAAAAGTCTTTAAATGTCTTGGTTTCGTCTGAGCAACAGTCTGAAACCCAAAGATTTCTATTTCCCACCAATAACAAAGAGAGAAAATCAGCAAACAGTCGCTCTGGACGAGTTGGAAACAGAAAATGTTTTTATTGATAAATGTTTGTTTTATGTTATACTATGTTTTAGAGGCTGGTAGTTAAACATGATTTGTGCTCCCATCAGTTTTAGCTGTGTGCGTGTTTTGTAGTCTGTTAATGTATTTATTGTGGAACTGCAGAGTTGAAAGCGAACACAGTTTATCTTGATTTTGACCTTGAAAAGTCGCTGCCAATTAATTTAAATTAATTAAAAGCTCTTTTCAACTCTAGATGAAAGTTAAATGTGATATCTGGGACTCAGAAGTGTGTCTTCTCCATCATCTTTAGTTTGAACTCCAGACAAAACCGTACAAACCTTAAACTTTCTTCAGATCATTTTAGTATTTTCTCAAGTCTTGCTTTCATTTTGCTCCACAGTGTAGATGTGTTTCTTTTCTATGTTTTATTTTGGGGACAAATTTAAATACTTGTGAACATCAAGTAAAGATTAAACAGTCAAGAGAATTCGTGGCACAAAAACATACAGTTGACACTTGAGCAGACTTTTTGTAGCTCCGTCTGTATAATAGTAAATAAAATATCCCACAGCAGCAGCTTGACCATCGGTAATCCTTCCTGTCTCTTCTGTCTGCTCAGACATTACTTCGTCTCCAGTTCCTCCCTGGCGTCCAACCCTGGTGAGCAGTTCTACATGTTCACCATCATCGCGGCGTGGCTCATCAACGTGGCGGGGAGGCCGTTCACCGAGCCTCAGGAGTACGACGAACCCAACGCCACCGTGTCCAACATCCTGGCCGAGCTCAGGGCCTTCGTAAGTGTCAAAGTGTAAAACCACAGCTTTAGGATGGTTTGAATGTAGACAATGCTTAGCAGACAAAAATAACATCAGAAATCAGCCCATGGTCACATAGAGCTGCATGGGATTAAAACGTTTGTCGTACTTCTGCTCATCTGATAGATGAGATTTATTGCTGATATAAAACTACAGATGTCCCGATGCGATCTCAGTGATCTAAGCCCGAACAGCATTGTGGGGGTTTAGCTAGCAACGGGCACTATGACAAAGACGTCAGTGGCAGGTAAATGACCTCCGATGAGAGCTCATGTTTTCAACATGAGCTGGAGCCAAATGGTTGATGTAATAAAGCTGTTTTTGCGGCACAGTTCATTTTTAGTAAAAGTGTATCCACATGTGGACTAATGTCTCCTCTACTTTTTTTTCACATTAATAGTGATTTGATTATTGATTGACAATACTGCCGACTGTGAGTTAGCAAAGTTATTTGATATTTGCATAAAATCTGCAGCTCCAAGTACTAAAACAGCACCGTAGGTTAGCATGTCTGTTTAAATTCATTGTCTTCTTCTGCTTCTTCAGTTTTAGACTGTGTTTAATTTAAGTTTTATTCACATTTTAAAGTGGTTCCTGTGTCTAGACAACAGTTAGCATTCAGAAATTCTGATTTGTATTTTATTTTTATATTCTGCAGTTTGAAAAACGTGCCTTTTTGCTTTCTGTAATTAAAATAATTGAGGCACTAGTATCAAATTACCCCTCCCCCCAGCTCCTCTTACCTGATATTCAATGTCAGTTTTCAGTGCAGACAGTTCATAAGTGTTGCTATGGACACATTTCAATTCAAACTGCGAAGGATGACTACCCAGCTTTGGTCTCACAGTTCTTTCTTCTAGCAGTTTTCAGAATGATTTAAATTTTATCTTCTCAAAACTGTTTCTGCTTCATGTCACTGACATAAAAAGTAAAAAAAAAAAAAAAAATCAGACATCTCACTTTTACAAAAAAAAAAAAAAAAAAATCAGACATCTCACTTTTACCCCTGATGAAACCTGCAAGACGCTTCTGTAATCTGACAGATGAACAGAAACCGAAACAGATGAATGAAACGTGTAACGATGAATAAAATACTTCACAGAGCTTTTTGATCCTCAGCTCAAACTCTCTCATTTTCATCCTGGACTAGATACAAGACTATAAAAGAGTCGTCTGTCTGTCTGTCTGTCTGTCTGTCTGTCTGTCTGTCTGTGTGTGTGTCAGGGTGTTAAGGTGGACTTTCCGCCCTCCAAACTGAAAACCGGCTCCGGCGAGTTTGTCTGCTTCGTGTTGGACCGACTGGCTGAAGAAGCTCTGAAGAGGAGAGGTTTTGCCTTCAGGAAGTAATCCAACATTTCTCTATTGTTGTCTCGAAAAACAGATAAATGTTCCACTGTGGTTAACCACTGTGGAGGCACCACAATCCTTGACTTTTAACCTCTTTTATCTGGCTGTTTGCTGCTCAAGACACGACATGACCAATCTTCCATGCAAGTCTTAAACCGCTGCAGTAGTTTTAAAGCTTTGGAGTAGCTACTCTTATAACTAAATGTTCCTCATTATCTAAAAAAAAAAAATCTCAAAATAAACAGGTTTTCAGTGGCTTTTGGTTGCACTTAGTGGCCTTAATATTTTATTTTATATTAGAGATGGATCTTGCAAGTTGCTGTCCTGTTCTGTTTTATATTTTAGATTTATTTCACCCAATATTGATGTTTATGCTGTTATCAGTTCAGTTCAGGAAATATGTTTCTATGCTGTCTTAGACATTTGTGCAGAGTTTTACTATTTAGGACCTAAAACTAAGCTCTGCAAAATATTTTGTATGTTTTCATGCCAGGGAATTTTTTACATTTTCACCCTAAAAGAAAACCTGTTACTTGATTAAAACGGCAACTGACATAAAGTTTGGTGAGGACACAAAAATGAATAGATTTTAGTGATTGAATATACCCAGCAGAGGACACCATTTTAATTATTTGTCTTTAAAAATAGGAAAACATGTAGCATTTTTAAACCAGGCTGCTGTTGCGTCCCCAGAAAGTTCCTGTAAGTGTATATATATAGGGATGGGTTCATATTTCTGCTAAAATACAGTCTTTGGTTGACATTTCACCAACTTTTGAGGCTCTAGCATCAGCAGAATCTGATGTGTGAAAAGTATGACAAGACAAGGTTCCACTTTTTAGATATTTTGGACTCATTGGTAGGAAACAAAAACTGCTGTTCATAGATTCTGTATGTTGTTATTATATGTGCAGAGTTACAAGCTGCTTCCACTCTGAAATTTAACAACACATTTCAGTTTTTTTGCTATTTTGACACTCACAATTCAGCCCCAAATATTTAACCTAGTTTTGATTAAATGAGTAAACCCTGAACAAAATCTTACACTTTGCCATGATGTCACTCTCTGAATAGACACAGACCAACACACCTAAAGATAATCAGTTTTTAAATCTGCAAAGTTTTAATTTGGGTGTTTTCAGGTCACTTTTTAGTTCTAATCCACAGTGAGGTTACTGACTGGATGTTGCTGGGAGAAAAGCCTTTGAACTCTGTTTCCGTCTTTCAGGCCAAACTATCCAGCAGAAAACACAGAAGAAGAGTCGGTGATAGAGGACGACGCTGAGCTCACACTCAGCAAAGTGGAGGAGGAGATGATAGTAGGTGTCCCTGCTTTGTTTAACGTGGTTCCAGGAGAGCTTCTGCATCCTAAAATCCAGTTTACTTGCTCTATTTATCGTTAATGTGGCTAATGTGGCTCTATAAGCATCCCTGGATGCAGTTAGTTAATTGTTAACACATTTCTGTGTTTCCTTTCAGTCAGACTGAAGACAAACATTTTATATGATTCATGTAAATATCAGCTTTTTTGGAAGGAAGCCTTTGAGTGGCGACAAAACACCACAGTAAAGACAATGAGCCTGTGTTACCTTATTTAACCAAACTTTGTGCATTTTTTAAACACTTTTGTAAAAGAGTTTAAGATTTAAGTCAGGAAATCTCTCATGAGACACACAGATAATATGATTGTGAACAGGTTTTCAGTAACTAATAGTTGTTGTTTTTACATGTGAACTCAGGAGGAGCCTGATGATGAAGAGGAGAACGTGATGGACCTGGAAGCTCTGAAGTTACGAACAACTCACCCTGTGAGATCACATGCAAATAAATTCACTTCATGATTTATGTCTATTTTACTTGAGATGTCCTGATTAAGTTTTATTTACCCCTGATCTGATCTGAGTCATTTTTATTGTCTGCCCATACAGATACTAATAATACACACTTCAAGTATTGTAGATGAGCTGGTAGCTCTTATTGTTAATACTGTAGAGACCAGAGGAGGCCTCACTCACACTACAGGCAGTTCATGTTAGCAAGTGGAGAGCATTGTTGGAGTTTAGCTTTAGCGGCACCACGACAAAGACTCCTGTGACAGGTAATGATCTCCGACCATTTGTTAAATGAAGCCCAGTTTGTTCAAGACGACATTCTTATATCCCAGTGCTGTGTGTGTCAGAACTGCTCTTGTGTCTCAAATCATCTGAGTAAAACTGCCATAACAATACAGAAGTACCATAAATATACCAATGGGCTCAGGTCAGTACTGATGTCAAGAAGGTAGAAATGGCTGTGATTAGATTCTAAATTCTATCAAAGGCTATCTAAATCTAAAAATCTATAGAATTTACATACGACAGACTTTCCAATCTTACTATTTCTTTTGCAGTTCATTTAGTCTAAAGTCTAAAGTTACATCTAATACATGAAAGTATATATTCTTCTGTGAATTGTGGATGCTGTGTCTTGCAATTTAACTTCACAGAACATAAAAAATTTTTTTTAAAAGCTTAAACCCTCTATCTGAGTGAAATGTATCGCTGTGCTTCTTTCTCTTTTACCCTCAACCTGTTCTTAAGATCGTGATCCGGGGTCTTAAGAACACTTTTTACTGGTTATAGTTTGCATTTTGCCAGAATCATTCTGTTCGCTTTAAGGTTTTCCAGGATTTTCTTCCCACCTGTTGACTGGAAATCTGTTGCCTGACAGGAAGCAGAACCTTCATCCAAACCGGACGAGATTCTGGAGTCGACGGTCGACGCGGCCGAGTGGAACCTGGAGGTGGAGAGAGTTCTGCCACAGCTCAAAGTGACCATCAGGACCGACAACAAGGTATGAATCCGAACACCAGCATCTTGATTCATTAAAAAGAAAGAATCCTGAGCAGATCCAGGCAGGGTTTAACGGATCTGTTGGCTGAAATAAAGCCGTTCAGAATCAATCCTCTTCTTTACCGAGCTCTGCAAAGTGTTGCTGCTGACACACAAACCATCTTATCAAAGCAAATCTGCTCTTTCTCATCAGCAAACATTCGGGAAGCAGCTTCCTATTTTACCTTTTTCTCCGTTTACAATTAGAAACGTGGTCGACAGCAGCGTTCTCCAGCTTTGACTCAAATTGATGACAAAATAAAACCCGGCTGATGTCGGGTTTGTTGCTCCTGCAGTTCGCCAAAGGCGACAGAAGCGCTGGTGTATTTTTATTTACGAAGCAGCGTTGACTAAACTCCCTTCTTGTGCAATCTTCTATCATTTACCAACACCTGTTTTGATTTGTGAAATGGCTGCTGAACAGGATTCTGCTGTTTTGCGCTGTGGTTCTGGAAAAACCAACGAGATCAAAGCTTCTTCTGCAGTTTCTATTCCTCAGTTGGATTCTGATTTACATAGCTTGAGGCCTCTGGTTGTTTTAAGGTGGTTTATTTTTGTCCCAAGTCTGCTGCTGTCGGGCTTGATTTTAAAAAGTGTTTTTAAGTTTTAGTGATGTGCCTTTTTCACCAGATCTCCCTTGAAAAGGAGAGTTTAATCTCAAGTTACCAGTTAAATAAAGGTTAAATGGATTTGAAAAATTGTTTATTTGGTAAAAGAAATGTTAATCTGGAACGCAGCTGCACAACAAACTTGTTAAAATGGCTGCAACAGAGTCAAAGTAGCACATTTTTAAGCTCATTTATCTGATCAGGAATTGGTTTAAATACACAACAGTGCTGCTGATTGTAAAAAAACAAAAAAGAAATCTGATTGTAGGATCCGATCATGAGTTTATTTCTCTGAACCTGCAGCGTCAAACCTGAGATCACATCCTCGCCGTGACTCGATCTGAGTCAATAACAATCTACACCTCAGCCCGAATCAATAACATAACTGAGCTCCGGTCAGATTTAAGGTTGCTTCTGATCCTATCGGAGTTTCCTTTTCTGCAAATCAAATCCCAAACTGCCTTTAAACAGTCGCTGCTGTGTTGCTGCAGCTTCGCAAAATCAAAGCGCTTTGGCTCGCTGCTCTACATTTACATTACACACACACACACACACACACACACAGGAGGCTTATTCAATTAAAAAAAAAAGTCAATTTCAATTTAAAGTCTGAGCAGACGAGATTCTCTGGGTGGATTTGAGGCTGCAGCAAACTGAGGGGAAAGAACTTACTATTGTGAGGATTACTAAACAGCAGGCGGGTGTGTTTTTCTGAAGGTAACTCATATGAATGAATCACAGAACTAAATGTGGTATAAAATAAACAGTGTAAAGCTGAGAATAAGACAATAAAATATGCAGTTTATTTAATGGATAAACCTTTGAATAGAAATGACCCTGGAGGATTTGAAGGGCAGCGTTCACAGCAAAACATTTCACATATGAATTGAAATAAAGATAATTCATGTGTTAAGTGTTTATATACAGACTGTAGCTGTTTGGATTTGTGGACATTAACAAGAAGGATGTCATTGAAGTGTTGGAAGCAGGACAAACTGTCATTTCCCAGCATGCTCTCTGTTGTGTTGCTGCTGTTTTGTGTGTTTCTAATTCTGGTCCCTGGTGTTGTTCCGCAGGACTGGAGGATCCACGTGGACCAGATGCATCAACACCGGGACGGGATCAAGTCGTCGCTCAAAGAGGCCAAGGTGTGTTCACTGACCTGGTTTATTCGCTGCTGGACTCAGGCAGCCGGTTCCTCTCTGTTCTGCGTTTTCATTACGTCGGCTTTTTAACATCTCTCTACTGCTGTAACTGCCCCACAAATGCCTCTGTTTTACTATATAGCAACATTTCTGAGAACATATGGGTTTAAATGTGTGGTAACTGCAAAACTGAGCTTCGGACATGCTCGTCTTTGAGTTAAACTGACAGCATCTGAAGGTATTCGCTTTAAATCTGAACCAACACCTTTTAGTTTACTGTCAGATTTTCCATATCAAGCCTACTAAATCCAACCGAGTACATTTTCTCGTATTGCTTTCTATACAGTCCAAGTCTGAACTGCATCTACTAATATTAACAAATCGACACGCATCTATTTTGAGTTGTGTGAAATGATTTGAAGACTTTTCCTACATTTCAACCCCAATATTCGTCCGAAAACATCACAGGGAGCAAAAATGTGTGCCAAATTCACCTTTGTCTCACATATATGATTAATATCTTTACTGTGATGAAGACCGAGTCTGTAACAGTTTAAATTAAGAGACTCAACATCCAGGTTTTGACTAACAGGAGTTAAAGTTTAGTTTGTTGCTTCCAGTTATTTGGGACTATTTCCTCTCAGTTTATTAAATACCTGCAGCATTTGACAACAGCAGAGTCCATCCCCAAGCAGAGGGGTGCACACTTTGAATATTTCTTCCACATTTCAGCATCAATGTTGACCTAAAACCATCACAGAGCAGTTTAAGTAGCAACATTCTCTCATTTAATTTCCTGTACAAGTTCACATCTATTGCTAATGTTTCCTCTTTACTATTTCTATCTGTTAAACTGTAATATCCCCTAATATAAATAAACCTTACCGTGTTGAAGGCAGAGTCTGTAACAGGTTCAATTAATGAGACTTACCAATAATTAATATAATCCATGTCCATCCATTGAATAACATGAGCTGAAGTTTAGTTTGTTGATTCCAGTTGTTCAGGACTATTTCCTCTGAGTTTATTAAATATCTGCAGCATCAGACAGCAGCAGAATCCATATAAGTGTCTCCAAAGAGAGAAAATAACAGCAGTAACTTCATTAATTACTCATAATTACAAATGATCCCAAACATGAAGATGGATCAGGATCTAACATTAAATCACCCTGCAGGTGAATCATTAGTTCCATCGTGTTCCATCACAGCTGTTGGAATGTTTTTATTGTACTGTTGGTAAAGTCATATTTAGATCACACAAGGACAGAATTTTCACTGTTTAGAAAATCCTAAATAAACAAGACTGTTAGTCATTTGGATTTGTTGTTGAGCTGCTGTTAGTTTAGATTTAGTCATTTGTCCAATGTCATGTGAATGACAGATATCCTCTCACGTCACTGTGGTGTCTGGATAAAGTCTTGAGCAGCATTAAAAGTGACCTTTAATGTCAGAATAGCAGAGTGCCATCACGCTGTCATGAAAGCAGCAGTTTTTTGCATCCAATGTCTAAAAAACAAAAGGCTAAATGAAGGTTAGCTGCTAAAGGTTAACCTTTGGGAAGCTAAAACTAACTGTAGTTATTGATTTTGCATTAGTTGTTATCTGGACAACATTCATTCTAACGAAATAGATATAAATAATAATTCAGTTTATTCCACACGATTAAATAAGATCGAAGCGAAATCAGTTCATGATAAAGAAGTAGAAATAGAAAACTGAACTTCTGCAAATAGCTGCAGCTTCACACGTCTCCATAGCTGTCA